TTTTTTGAGGGGGGTGGGGATGGTTGGATTGGAAAGGCGGTTGGAAATTAATGTCGAGCAATAAATCAGTTACGCTTCGCGAACAACACAGTTCTAATTGAGAGAAATAATCGCTCCGCTCAATTTATGATGTAAGAATTGCATCTAAAAATTAGCGGCTCAAAAGCGAGGATAATTTGAGGTGCAGTTTGCCAAAAATAAAAGGCTGAACCGAAAGAAGTTGATAGCCACAACTTCCATGGCCAGGAAATAAGTATGCGCCTCAATATTCAGTCCAAGACTGCACGTAGGATAAACATTTCAGAGTATCGTCGATTTCTTCAAAGTGTCACTAAAAAGTCTGTGCTCACCTACCAGAAAATGACGTGCTAGTGCTAACCGTCGTCCTGAAGACAAATGAAAAGCGAACTTATGGCTGCTATTGAGAAAGTAGTGGAGCACAGGATGTCTGGAATTTTTATTAGTAACTGTATAAATGGGCAGTCAAACTCTCCGTCAGATGAGCGGCATGCGGGATATCATTGCGACCATGCAAAAAAGTGAAATTCAATAGGAAGGGGTTGCTACTGTCGTTGCCGTTGATCGGTGGATGTCGCATGTATATGTTAGCCTGTGGTATTCGCAATAAAGTAAACGACCGCTCAGACTGCCATCTCTGGAGGGGTGACGGGCATAAATCGAAGATGCGGTGGACATATGAAAGTACGCAGTCCGGGATCGAGGATCCTGGTATAGTTATGCTAGCATGTAAGAGCATCTTAATAACATTACTAACGTAGGATACCCACACTGATGCCCCGGGCGGTCTTGATATTATATGTATATATATATATGTATTTATGAAGACAAAGAAACAAAATCACTCAGTTCATTTCTTTATTTTCATCTGTTAAAACGCGCATAAAAGATTTTTTTTTTGGACGACTGACACATTATCAGTGTTTGACGTTTAGGTCAGTGAGCACTCGCAGCTCATTTTTGCAATCTGAAGAGTGCCGCGCATGGTAAGTTCTTTTTATTGGTCGGTGACAAATATTTCAAATACTTTGAAACACTGCTTGTTTTAAGCTTTAAAAATACATACCCGTTTCGTCAAATTTCTGAAAATTGTAAGTTTGTTATAATGATTCAGGACTCTTTGGAGAAAAGTTTTGGCACAAGCGGTGCTGGGAACGCGCCTCGCAAAGAAGCAGGCGATGGTTTGTTTTGAATCCAATAGCAGTGCTTTTTAGAAAGATGGTAGAGATACTACTCTTTTTGTTTTGCTTCAGTTTGCGCATTATTATTCTGCTCACATCTGCATGTTGCTCTAGCGATAATTTATGAAAGGGGTAAAATTCACTTCAACATGCGGCAGGCACGCTTCTATCCAGTTGTCACAGTTATTCCAAAAAGTTGTTTATTTAATACTCTGCTAGTAGGAAGAATCTGAAAAAATACATCCAGATGACAAAAAATGTTGCATTTTTTAGTTTGCTCTAATTTGCGCACCATTTTCCGAACATCTTATTTAATTTTCAAACAGTCAGCCTTTCCAGCGACAATTTACTGAATCGGGTTGTTGCTGTTAGAAGGCTGTTGTTACTTTAAACCACTTCTTCAAATTGTTTGAGATTTTAATCTTTACTCTGATTCTAACCCATCTATCTAAGAGATTAAATGGAGATACAGGTTTCTGCTTCGCAGTTTCAGCGCTTAACTTTTTGATAAACGAAATTTAAGTGAGCACAAAATCTGGAAACTAATAAAAAGTTGAAAATGCCCAAACTTTTTTGGATGACATCATACTTTTCTACTATTTAAAAGTATGGAGTATTGGCCTTTATCGGAAGCCAGTTTATTAAGAATGCTTCTCAGTGCAATGAGTGGATCAAATGGCGGCAGTAGCAAGAGATCCTTTACACTTGGATTACATCTGTTTTTTGGCCGCACTGCTAAATCAACAGTGTCTGTAAAAAGTAACCTTCAAGGGGTTGCAAAAGGTGGACAAAAGCCGACTGCTCAAAAACTGAACAAAACAACGATTCCGGAACAACAGCAAACGCACAAGCAGATGTTTGCCGGTGGCGACTTTCGTGTCCCACCTAAATCGGCTAGTTCTTCTGAGCTAAGCTACTATACTTTTCCTGAGCAAAAGGTTAGTTTCTGCTTCAAAAAATGTAATGAGCTTCGTGCATACTTCGTGTGCGTTTTTTCACGCCGCTCTTGTAGATGGCAACTTTTCCATTCTTTACTTTGGAACTTCCTTATCTGTGATTGCACATATACGTTTGAGAGAATTTCTTCCACTGCACTCACTACCTCCCCTGTATTCTTTTCACAGTGCTTGAGCAGCATTCAGTAATCGCTTTGATTCATTTGTTGTCACTCATTCTTGCCCCAGTTCTTCTTTCTGGCTTACGATGCTCTGATAATTTCGCTCACATCAGGCTGGAATCGTTTATACAGTACTTTTCCATTCATTTGTACCAACATTTTGTCTGCTACGCAGCTATACGACCTTCACTTTTTATGCGTTTTTTGCACCTACACAAAGCGTAAATGCACATTGTCAAGTGGTTGTAATTGTGTGCATGTGTGTGTTGTCTGTTTGTGTCTGTGTATTCATCTGTACCGCTTTTTCATCTCGTGATTAACAAAAATTACAGGGTTGAAACTTTGGGAACTTGACCTAAATGCACGTACAGCACTCCATCCCAAAAATGAACGTTCTTACTCACGTTCCCACTTACAGGCCCGTCAAAGCTTTTGGCGGGTGAACCGCTAACTCGGAAACCAGAAAAGCTAGAAAGCTGGAACTTTTAGGGGATGTTTTCCGTCCACATAAGTCTTAATGAGTTCAGACCCAGTCCCCAGGTTTGCGTGGTTCTCACGTAGGGGTTCGTGAAATTTTTTGGAGGTAAGTTGCCAACTTGAGAAGCAGAGAAGCTAGAAAGTTGGATTTTTAAGGGGATGTTTTCTGACAATCCAGGTGGCCAGTCTCAATTCTTAACTAAAAGCGCCTGCCGAAAAAAATAGTGCCGTTAGTGATAAAAATCTGCGAAGAACTATGTAAAAAACGCATCTTCGCACCGGCAGTCGGTGCGCCAGCCATTTATTTCTGCAGAATACTCAAAGTATCTTGCTTCGTTTCGGTCTCATCAGCCACTGTTTGTTTATCTATCCGCCAAGTTTAAGCTTTTCGTCAATATGTCATTATTTTAAAAACTGCAGTATTTGAAATTTACAACATTTTTAATTTCAATTGATCTAGCCAAGCATGGAGTACCTGATACACCTTCTGGAAGAACAGAAGCAGTTAGAAACGTTGCAGAACTTTGGCAACTTCAGTCACACTGCCTATCTTCTCAACAACGGCACGTTACATCATTTAGTATCATAATCATTCTTTTATTTTTTGAATTTAAAAATCTAATCAGTATTTTGAGAGTCGCACCTTTCTGAGAGTCCTGGGCATTCGCATACCCTATCTGGATTTTGCCGGTGAGTTGTGACACACGTCAACGCTTCCACAAAAGGTGAAGCAAAATGGGACAACTAAGCTCATATCGGGGTCAAAGAGAGATTACGAGCGCAGTTGTTGGCGGAAGTGATGGAAGCAGGTACAGGAAAGAGGACCCAGGAAAAAACAAATTACGAGATATACCAAGGGATCGACGCTGTTAAACGTGTCTGGCAGCTGCTCGGCATACAAGGAACGCGTATAAGAGAATTCGTCACGCTGGTTTTTACTTAAATAGATGATGAAAAGCATTGAAGTTTTTATTTATAACTTGTTTTATTATAGTTTATAATGCTAGCTTGTTTCTTGAAGCGAGGCCACAGGTCAAGGCACAGGAAAGTCTAAAGTCTAGTTTCGAGCAGCTCACCATGTAGTGCTTGAAGTAAAATTTTCAGATTTGTATCTCACTCATTCTAAATTATATGATTGCCCTAAAATCGAACCTGAAACTACACAGAGCAGGTTTTGAAAACTCGTTTCTGACTAAGTCCAAATTTTTTTAAAAGAGTGGATCTAAATTTGTCATAAAACCATAATTTAGGATGTGATAAGTTCTAAAAACTGATTTCGCGACATTTTATTCGTATTACTTGGTAAATTAAACCTGCAAAATTTCGAGTACTTAACCTTTTTCGTTCCTGAATTATAATTAACAACTTAGAAATGTAGTTACGGAACAGACCGCAAAATGAAATTTAATTACACCATAAGTTTATGAACGCATAAACAGTCTGAGAAATAACTTTTCCACAGTTTCAATTTTCGAAGTTTTGTATTGCTGATGCAAATTTGTGCGATCGCCCAGATAAGCAAGTAGACAGACGCAAACAAGACACAGACACCCACACAAACACACGTATATACATAGGCATGATTTCGTTATAACACTTTTTCAAAACTGGTGCGAAATTGTGTAGAAATGAAATTTTGGCATGCAAATCCTGGAGATGAACTAATTGGTTCTGCCACTAACTTGTCGGAGCTCAATTTAATAAACTACATCTGCAAATGTGTCATCTTTAGATCTCGTGCATTTTAAAGTTGCCGGGATACTTAGCTTTCGGGCACGAATGCACTCATTCTGAACTCACATTACACTACTTGCTTTTGCTGCGTACCGAGACATCAACGAGCTTCTCCGGCAATACACATCAACTCATTTTGATTTTTTATAGAATGAGAGCTCACCAGCCACAAAAGCCACTTTTTGGAAGCAGTAGGGCACTATAAAAGTTTCGATGCAAAAACGTGCTAGAAAGTCGAACGTATAAGATCAAAAGTCGGGATTTTTGAGTAACGAGAATTGCAGCATCCTTTCCACGAAATTTTATCTGGATAATTAATCTTAGAAATTTCGCAAAAGGCGCTCGGAGATGCTGGATTCTAAGTTTTGGATGGTTTCAGAGCTACAAAAGTCATAGCACGATTTCTTTTCACGCACGTTTATATATTGGCATTGAGTTGAAAACAGCGGAAGAAATTCCTGCTTTTTAACTTCATGGAATTCATATTTCATATCTATACGAAAATCGTGAAATTCTCTTCAGAAGTAGACAAAATTCGCGCTGAGCTCTACGAAATAGCGAAGTCAGGAGATGGTGAAGGAGTGAAGAACCTGTTTGCGAAAGCGGAAGTGCCAATTCAGAAGAAGGTTTTACTGCAGGAGAAGATTTTGGTTCCTGTTGACGAATATCCGAATGTTGGTCACCTGCGCTTTTTTGTGCTAGCTTTGCTGTTTATCGTTTCTGGCTTAATGTTGGTCGCTTGCGAAAGGAAACAGTTTTTTGAGACTTTGAAAGGCAAACCCTCACTTCCGCAAAAAATCGCAATCGCAGTGTAGTTTTTTTTTTTTTCACGAACTGTAGGTGCATCGGGTAAACAGCACGTTTCGTCAAGCGAATCATCTTGCTTCCGTCTTTGCGACGATATTCCTAATTTGAGAAAACATCAGACTGTTCGTCTGGCTAAAAGAAATACAGCAAGCACTGGATCGCCCAGATTAGCTACATCACACGTATATTTCAGTATAATTTTGTGGGGCGTATCATTGGTCCACGTGGGATGACCGTCAAAGAGCTCGAGAAGGAAACTGGTTGTCGAATTGTGGTTCGTGGGCTCGGGTGCGCTCGTGAGGTAACGCTTGCTTTTTCGAAATTTTGTGACTGAAAAAAAAATTGGACTCACAGAGTAGTGACGAGTAGAGATATTTTTGTTCTGCGCTGTTATGACTTTTTGTTGTTATCGTTATTACAGGACAGAGAAAACACTCAGGAGAGTTTGCACGTGTTGGTGCAGTGCGAGGACTTCGAAGAGTTGGCCCAAAAAAAGTTGGCTTTTGCCGTAGAGCTTATTCGCTGCTTGCTTGTCCCTCCGGCAAGTTTTTTTTTTTTATTTTTAGACTAAGACTTTGGAGTCTGTATTTTCCAAGAACTTCGATATGCATCTGGTGATAGACATCTGCAAGTAGACATCTGCTTACGAGCTCAGTGAATAAATCTCAAGTGGAAAGTGTCGCAGTAGTTACTGCTTGTTAACTCCGATTTGGGCTGACGTGTTGTTCGCGATGTCTTTTAGTAGATTTACAAGGGCTGTGATTTTCTTGCGGTAAGCACAAGACCACCTACACAAAGAGATGCTTCAGTTATTTCACCTTCAGCGCTAAAGCTTTCTGCTGTTTTGATTTTTATGCGTTTTTGCATAATATGCAAAAACACATATTGTGACGGCCCTGGTGTCTGTGTGTTGTGTGTGTGCGTCTGTCCGGGTATTTCAACTCGGCACCCAAGCAAGCTCCGGAGCCAAAATTTTG